CTGGGGAATTCTGGGAGTTGAAGTCCACACATCTTCAAGTTGCCAAGGTTGAGAGACACTGGTATAAATTGTTCTCTCCATTACTTACCCTAAGTTAGGCGGAGATGTTATCACCAACTCAAAGGTACCCTGTGAGCTTCATAGCAGAGTAGGGATTTGTATGTGGGTCTTCCAAATCTTAGGTTGCCATTCTAATCACTATTTAAAGCTTCCTCTTCCTCTTGAAACTTGTTTGCAAGGTTGGTTTGCATGTAGCTCATTTATAGAACTAATCAAGTTTAAAATTAGATTCATATTATTGAATATTAAGATTTAATATTAGACAAATACTATTTCAGCACCTTCTGTGTAAATGTTTTGGGGGCGAGAGCACATTTGGCGTTGTCAGCCATGTTGGCCATCCTCACAAAACTATTGCCTTGATGGCCAAAGCTAATCAACACTCCCATACCAGAATACAGGGGGACTGCATCGCTCTTGTTTTTTCCCTTTTACTGGGTAAGTAGACAGATTCCAAAACCAACACTGGAGTGAAGTCCCCTTTCATTTTTATTTTCCCAGATGGCCTCCTGGATGCACATGGAGTCTGGAAGTATTTTTGGAAAGAAAGCCGATGCTTGAGAGAGGTGCTCTGCAGCACACTAGTTTAAGTCGTTTTGAACTGAAAGAATTTAAAGATAAATCGAAGGGTCCTTAGAGCAACACAGACCTTCCATTCCCAAAAATAAAGAAATCCTGCAACCAACGCTTTAGGAAAGGGATTTGTTTCTAAAGCCAGCGGAGCCGCCGGCTCTGAAAAGTCACCGACTTTGCCCAAATTGGGTCGTTTTAACCGGGCTGTGCGAGGGACAAACTTCGGCTCAGCTTCAGCAGTTCCTCTCCGCAACGGCTTCGGCCCGGCACTGCAGTGCTTCCACGCAAGCCCGCAGGTGCGCGCAGCCCTTGGAAGAGAGCCGGCCCCTCCGAGAGGGAAGCGGCGAGAGACAGGCTCTTCGGGGGGAGCCGGAGCCCTGGCTGGACTCGCTG